CCGGTGGCCGATAACGCCAGCCGGCGCGGCCCGAGCCACCTACCCTGGGGCGCCCTCGCACAGCCTCCCGGGGCACAGGCGGCCTCGACAGATCAAGAGCTCTCCCACTCACCTCCTCTCGTGGAAAGCCCCCACCCGGGACGGGCGCCGAGAAGTCAGTCAGAATATACTCCGGAGCTTTCGTCACTCGAACCTCGGTAAATCGAGTTCCTAGACTATGTCGCTCTTATTCTCTACATACTCTCGTGTTAATTCAACTCAGAAACTCGAATGTTCAAATAGAGGAACACTAAAGGCAATGATAAAATACATCGGAACTTTCATCACTCGAAGCTCGGTAAATCGAGTTCCCCTTCCCGTGACATTTTCGTCGCAGAACCTCCATCGTTGGGCGAAATTCCTGGTCGCCAAGGAAAGCAAATTCAGGAAATCGTCGTTTACTCTGCATACACTAATGTTGATGTACTCGGATGAGTCGAAAGCAGCGGCGAGGGGAGTTTGCGTTCGTCCTCACCTGGCACACCGGCCGCCCAGCCCCCCCCCTCGTCGATCCCGGGAGGGAGATCAAGAGATTCTTCGATCCAAAGTCCCTTCTTCTGAAGAAGAGCCCCCCCCCCTCGTTGATCCCGGGAGGGAGATCAAGAGATTCTTCGATCCAAAGTCCCTTCTTCTGAAGAAGAGCCCCTCCCGGAAGGGTGGCCAAAGCCACACAGAAAATACACCGAAACTTCGTTCATTCGAACCCCCGAAAACCGAGCTAGAGGCCTCATTTTTTTCCTCCTTCGCCTTCTCTACACATTCTCGTGTTCATTTAACTTGGATATTCGTATATTATGATGAAATTTGAAGGAAATCCCGACAATTTTGATGAGAATGCTCCCCCTTTGAATTAATTTCCCAGAAAATAACCGATATCCAGAAAAGAGACAAGTCAAAATAAAATAGCATTGATATACTCTTTTGTCGTCATTTTTCCATATCACGCTCATGTTCATTCATTACGATACGACAAAATTTATAAAAGAGAAACTATGAATTGCGGGAGGTTTTCAGGGGAACTTTTGTTCGCGAAGATTCTTTTTCTGAACGGAACTACAAATAAGTGGTACTAAGTAACAACAGAACGTCGAAAAGTCGGTTGGCCTGGATTACCTGAAAATGTTTCATTCGACTTCCCTTTCTTCATTAACATTCGTATTAATGTATCTCGATAAGACTAATGTAAAGAAGGAGGAACCAAATCCTTTAGAACTTCACGATAGCTCCGTTTGGGAAGTATTTTTTTTCAAACGAAGTTCCCGGACAGAAGAAAGCATAAACACACGTCAGAAAATAGCATAACCTCAATAATTGGTACCGCCGTAATAAAAACATTTCTTCGAATAGTTTCTTTACCCTTCACTTTTCTTAGACATTCGTGTTTACGTTTCTCAATAAGATCTTCATCGATGAAAAACGACGACCTTCGGGAACCACGTTCTCCTCGACCCGGAAGATATTTGCTCGGAACAAAGTTCTCGCCCAGAAGCACGAATCCAGTCAGAAAATCCAGTAAACCTCTAGATACCTACGGCTTCGATGCCCCAAATTGTTTCACTCGCCGCAATTTTCTGTATACTTCCGGAAGTCGCTTATACAGAAAGAGGAACCACGCCCTTCCGAGAGGACATCAAGAGGGATCTTGGGATTTACAAACCGGAAGCCCCTTGTCCCTAACGAAATTTCATGCCACTAGGGAAGCGCAAAAATCGGTCAGAAAATATTACCTTCAGGCTACACTGGACCTGCAGTTCACGCTAGATATTGTTGGATAAAGGGTCCGGACAAACAGGGTGCGGGGCTGGGCTCAGGGGCGAGTAATACCTTTCTTTCCGGAAGCCGAGACTTCCGTCCGAGTCCATTTCTTTATATATATATATATATATATATA